TGTATATATATATATATACACATATATATATCTCAGACACATTATGGTTTTATATTGCCTACATGAGAAGGAATAGTAAAAAATCTGGGGCATAAAAAACATAATTTTATCATCAGGAATGAACTATAAGAATAAAAAGAGTTCTGAGGGAGCATATCGTAGCAGCTGAACACATCTCAGGGAAAGGAGGAAAGAACAACTTAACCCGAGGATTCTCTCTGCCAGGTTACCATGACATCCTTAAGAGTCACGAATTGGGACCAACCAAGCATGTACAGAACCATGAAAATGAAGAAAGAAAAATAAAACACAAATTAAAAATAGCATTTTAAATTACTAAATTAATAAAGCTTATTAAGAGAACCAGAAACACCAAAAATACTTAATTATAACAAACATTATCTGTAGCATCACAATAAAAAGCAAGTATAGGGATTGTACAGATTTTAAATATCAACTATTGGGGTCACCATGTGAACATAAAACACCAATTACAAACAATTCCATACAGAACATTTATTAAGACTTAATACATATGGATCTAAATGAAATACACAGAAGCTATGGTCCTTCTCACAAGAAAATTACAGTCTACCTAAGAAAACAGGGAAAAATATGAAAATAAAGATTTGAACTAAGCAGAATTCACTATTCAGATGGGGAGAGAGCAAGAGAGAGAGAGAGAAAGGACAGCAACAGCTTTAGACAGCTTTATGAAGCAGGTCAAGTTTAAGCCAAGGTCTTCAAAGATGAAAACTATCTAGTTAAGTATAAAGGAGGTGTGGATGGGCAGGGGCAAGACTTGTGAGGTGAAGAAGTCACCTTAGACAGAGGCACTGCAGCAAGAACGAGCATAACAGCATGTAGAAAACAGCAAGAACTGACAGTACACGTTGCAAAAGGCTGGGCGATTGGGCGATCGGGTAGAGTGGGGCCTGATGGCTTCCCTGATTTACAATATACGCAAAATTGCATTGGGAATGAATGTCAAGTTCAACCAAAAACACCCTAAATTTTTTTACTATAATGATGTCATTGGGGTTTCTCAGTTAAAGGAGACGCTTGTCTAAGCTCAGGAAAAAAAGTAACAAAAATATATGAGGCCAATTGATATAACTCCATTTGTTCCAAGCCATTTTTCCTGCTGTGCTCCAGACAAATCACAAATTAAATATAACGAAAGAAAGAAACGAATACCTTCCCTGCTAGTCAAACGATTCTGAGGAAAGACTTCACGTAGCAGATTGATTTGAGCCAGCACTTTTCCTCAGCCAGCTTTGTATTCCACTTTTGCTGTTCTCCCTGGCAAATACTGTCCTGAGGCTCCCAGTCCAAACTCCACTTAGCAGGTGACCTCCTTTCCCATTTTACTGAGTAGATGGAAATTCCTCTACATGGCATTTCCTCTTTTCCATCTCAAAATTTCCAGTACCATCCACAAACCTTTCCACCTTTCCTCCCAAGTCTCAGAGAACACAACTTACGATACATGGATTTGAAAAGTCCTTCTCCCTCACCTTCCCTTCCTGCCCCATCCCCCCCGCCCCCACCCTGCCTGTTTCATCACCATTTCTTGTCTATGAGCAGTTTCTACCCTCTACTAACTCTTTCATCTCTTCAAAAACAGGGTCAGATTAAGGCAATCCAAGTTCTTGCACATCCTGGGAAGGTGCCTTAGCCTCTCAGATTATTGGCCCCACTAAATTTCTCAAAAGAATACTCTATACCACATGGTACTAAAATTGCTTTATGTACCAATGACTCCTAATTATCAAAACTTTCTTCAGTGTTTGACTCTGTGGTTCACCACCATTTTCGTTAAGCCCCATTCTCTGTTTCATCGTGACATGAAACTTTTCAAGATTACCTTCTGCCTTTCTGACCTCCTGTCTCTTCACTCAATAGCACTGGAATTGCAAAAAGTAAGTTGCAAATGCTGAAAGGCTTCAGAATATTACTAAGTGAGATTCCAGGGATGTGTCACCTAGCCATCTTAACGAATACTAGGACAGAAATGAAAGCAGTCCAACCTTCACGTGAACCAGGCAAATAAAAGAGAGAAAAGAATGTGAGATATTACCTGCAAGACACTAACCGTTAAGTGAATCCTACAAAGGTACAGGAGAAAATGTTAAACTATATATGTAAGAGAAGCAGGAACAGAAGAAGAAACACAGCCCAAGTTGCTAAGACAAAAAGAAACTTACTTAGATGAAAAGACACTGGAGGTCAAAGAATGACACAAATAGGTTTCTATTTGATAGTGGAAATAATTTATTGATGAGAAGTAGAAATTGCAAAAGCTAGAAATTTAATAAGATTTCCTTTTTCTGATCACAAAGGTGAAGGCTGAAGTTTTAAAACAACCATTCCATTTTTTTCTATAAGAAAAGAAACACTAAAGAAAACCAAGTTTGTATCACAAACCAGGATTAAGATATTACCAAGGCTTAAGATTGACAAAGCTCCCTCAGTAGAAAGGAGATCTTTCTGATATATGTCAACTTTAAAGAAAGCTTTGGCAACGCTTTGGCAGATATATTGAAGCCTGTTCTTCAAACAATAACCTAAAGAAAAAAACAAATGCCTTCTTCTACAAAACATAATCTTGGGTAAAATGTACTACATTACAAAAAGTTAAGCTCTTTAGTTCGGCCCACGGGAAGATACAGACAATGCTAAACTCTGTAAGTATCGGAATTATGAAGAATAATGATTTTAATTTAAAATTGCCAGCAGTCAACAAAAGGCAATGACACTAGAGAATTGAATAAACAAGCCCTTTTAATTTCAGAAAATAATTCAACGTAATTAAATTGAACAAAAACCCATAGAACATCTGGATGATTCCACAGCAGTGATCAGGGTAATTTAACAAATATGTAAACCATGTAACTGCAGTTAGGTTTTATTTTCTTATTTTGATGCCAAAATGTTCTAAAGGTGTTGCCCAAGTTTTCCTCCAGAAAGGGCAGAAATTGACTATATTTTTTACATTCTATAAAATTTTAGTCCTAGGTGCATGGCCAAATCTACAAAACCCTGAATTTATTCTAATGACAAAATATCAGAAAAGTACAAAATGTAGAAGTGAAACTTACGCAGAGTCCCAGAGCTAAATAGATGCAGGAAAAAAAAACATTGTTAACACTGAGAACAGTGCCATGCTTGTAGCACCCCTCCAAATGATCCTTTAGACAAGAGGGTTGAAGAATAAATCCAGTGCTCCAAAAGTAGTTGCACTTTATTGTCACTGCTTCCTATCATCTGGACAACCTGAATTTGTTCTCTCTAATGGAATATAGGAAACAGCTAGTTAAGTGATTTTACAGAGGCAGCTATATTTTGAATTGCATAGTATATACCATAAAACATTAGGTTCAGAAACAAGATAGCAAGAACAGTCCAGAAATTGGGTGGACAGCAGAGTTCTAGGAAGAGACACAAAGAGTAAATATTGGTTCTAAATATAGCTTCCCCCCAATTTTTTTAAGAGACAAAATCTCGCTCTGTCTTCCACACTTGAGTACAGTAGCACGATCATAGCTCACTGGGGCCTCAAACTCCTGGGCTCAGTCAATCCTCCTGCCTCAGCCTCCCAAGTAACTTGGACTACAGGCATGTGCCACAATGCCTGGCTAATTTTTCTTATTTTTCTGAGACAGCATTTTGCTATATTGCTCAGTCTATCTCTAACTCCTGGCCTCAAGCAATCCTCCAGCCTCAGCCTCCCGAGGTGCTAGGATTACAGGTGTGAGCCACCACACATGGCCCCCAGTTTTTTTTTACATCAGGCAGGGAAATTCTTTTATATCAATAACAAAAGTGATATAAGAAAATAATAGGCCGGGCGCAGTGGCTCACGCCTGTAATCCTAGCTCTCTGGGAGGCCGAGGCGGGCGGATTGTTTGAGCTCAGGAGTTCGAAACCAGCCTGAGCAAGAGCGAGACCCCGTCTCTACTAAAAATAGAAAGAAATTAGCCAAACAAATATATAGAGAAAAAATTAGCCGGGCATGGTGGCGCGTGCCTGTAGTCCCAGCTACTCGGGAGGCTGAGGCAGGAGGATCGCTTGAGTCCAGGAGTTTGAGGATGCTGTGAGCTAGGCTGACGCCACAGAACTCTACCCCAGGCAACACAGTGAGACTCTGTCTCAAAAAAAAAAAAAAGAAAAAAGAAAATAATATTGTATAAACTGTATGATGACATAAATATTAGCACCAATTAATGGGGATCTGGCTCCTTAATTTAAGTAAGGGCAATCATGCTTTTAAAAATAGAACTTCCCAAATCCTACCACGTAGAGCTGCCTTCATCTGCAGCTGCATGATTAAAATAGCTCAGTGCATGCCTTCTATTTATCCCCACCCCACTGAAGTCTAAGGAGGTCCTTCCTCAGCAAAGTTGTTGAGTCAGCCAGACTGTAAAGCCTTCTGCTCACCATCTGCGTCCCTCGCCTTCTCTGGGTAACCACTCTTCAATCCAGCCAGGGGCCTCATGTACCAACCACCCTCCCCCCAACTTCAGGTGCCAAATGCCTTCCTTCACCCTTTCTCTCCTCCCTCCAAAACATGGGGAAATAAAAAAGATCTAATAACCAATCTTTTATACTTTTGGCCATTAAGATTATAATTTAGTTGAAGCTCTTCAGAATAAATGTTACCTCCCTCAGAGG